GAAGGAAGGAAGGAAGGAAGGAAGGAAGGAAGGAAGGAAGGAAGGAAAGGAAGGAAGGTAGGAAGGAAGGAAGGGAGGAAGGGAGGAAGGAAGGAAAGGAAGGAAGGGAGGGAGGAAGGAAAAGAAGGAAGGGAGGGAGGTAAGAGGGAGGGAGGGATCTGTACTTCCGGGCTCAGAGATCCATCCACCTCCCTGCCCCATCTCAGCATGCCTTCCTGATGTTTCCAGCAAATCCCCCTTAAGGGCACCATGCAGGGAGCCTTAAGCTACCCTGTTGCCATCTGCCCTACTTGTGCCCAAGCCCAGCAGAGCTGCACTGTAGCCTACATAGACCATCTGGCGGAACTCCAAGACTTCTGGGTTAGAGCCCCAGCTTGCAATGCACTACTGAGCAATACTTTGTCATGCGTGCATCCAGCAAATTCTTGATCAACATTCACCCCACTGCGGTGGGCCAGGCTCTGTGCCAGGAGCACAGTTGCATCACGGAGCAAGGTACACGGGGTCCCTGCTTTCTTCTGCCGGGGTAGACAGACTACAAGCACGTGAGCAGATGGCAGGTGGTAGTAAGTCCCACGTTAAGACCCCGAACAGGACGCTTTTGTGGAATGACCGGGGCAGGTGGGTGGGGGGCAACTTCAGGGGGTGGGCAGGGAAGGCTTCCCTCAGCGGACCTGTAAGGCCAAATCTGAAAGACACAAAGAAATAGGCACGTACTGACTGGATGGAAAAGCATTCTAGGCAGAGGGAACAGCTATTACGAAGGCAGGGCCTCAGGAAGCAAGAATGAACTTGGTGGTGTGTCCTGGCAATAGCAGGAAGGGCAGCGTGCCTGGGGTTCCCAGAAAGGTGACAGGAGGTGACAGCACAGTGCTCAACAGAGGCCAGATCACAGAGGTTCAGGGGACACCAAGAAGTCAGGATTCCGACTGGGGTTAGGGACAGGACGTGACCTAATCAGATTTCCTGTTTTTAAAAGATTGCACTGCCCATAAGATGCTTCTTAATTACAATGAGAATAACAGTCACATGGGAGAGAAACCTGGCAAATGCCACCGTGACCAAGTGATCAAAGCAAACACCACCAGTGGCGGATCAAATGGACACCGCGTGCCTCCCGATATGATGTCCTGAGAAGGACACACATGCCCTCGGTAGGGTTTCTGCCAAACATGCAGCATCTGAACCCAGTCACAGGAAACATCAGACAAAGCCAAACTAAGGGATAGTCTACAAAAAGAGTACCAGCCCGTACTTTTCAGAAGTGGGGCTCCTGTCACAAAAGACAAAGACAAAGGGACCATGCCAGATTAAAGGAGATTAAAGAGACACAATAACCGGATACAATGTATGACTCGAGATTAGATCCTGGGCCAGAAAAATATTTTATTTCTTTTCTTATGAAGGACATTAGTGGGACAACTAATGAGCATTTGAATAAGATCTGTCAATCAGGTCATAGGATTGTATCAATATTCATTTCCTGATTTTGATCAACTATCCTGCGGTTATTTTACGAGAAGGTCCTTCATTTTGCATTTTCAGGGAATACAACTGGAATATTTAGGGGCAAAGAAGCATCGTGTCTGCAACTTGATCTCAAAAGATTCAGGGAGAAAATTGTGTGTGTGCGTGTGTAGGGAGAGTGTGCAAGTTGCAAATTGGTAAGATACTTGGGGAATCTGGGTAAAGGAATATAGGAACGCTTGGCACAATTTTTGCAGCTTTGCAAGTCTGGATCACTTCAAAATTAAAACTTTATAATATAAAAATGTAAAAGTTCCCTCCAGCTGCAGAGTGAATTATGAACATCAGGCGAAGGGGCAGCAGCGGTGGGGGGCGGGGGGGGGGCCAGGCAGGGCCAAGTTTGAAGGCCCCTGCTAGGAGGGGACAAGGACTAAGGCTTTCAGAACTGATTCAGAAATCAGGACCTCGAGAAAGCCACTCAGTCTCCCACCGTTCCGCTAACAAGGGGCCCAGCCAGTGCCGGCCAAATGGTTCCTGCAACTTTCCTTTGCAGCCACGCTGAAAAGCAATCAGACGTGACAGCCCAGGGCAGCGGGAGCACTGTGGCCGGCACTCAGCTCCGGGAGGTTTGTCGGGGAAGGGGGCAGACTGGCTGACGCCCCTGCTGCCTTGTCACCTGCATCTCCAGGGGTCCCCCAGCGCCTGGGGCCCCTTCAGCCGGGCGCAGCCCCTCGGGGAAAGGAGACTCCCCAGGCCCCAGCAGACTTTTGCCGAGATCCTTCTGACCTTAGCCGGGGCAGGCCAGGGCTCGGTTTTAAAAGAATAAAAGCACGGGCTTCCTCGGGGGGCCTGCCCCTGCCGGCCTGGTGCAGGCGACGCGTGGCGCAGCCAGCGAGGCTTGTTCAGTTGGTCTAAACATGCAGGGCTTTAGCCGCGCACCAGGCGCCACACTCTCATTAAACAGGGGCCAGCCGTGGGGCTAATCTGACCCGGCCGCCTCCAGACGCCCGGTTGCCGCAGGTGGACGGGTGCGCCCCGAGCACGTCTCAGGGAGCCGGGTGGTCTGACGATTCCGGACAAAAGTGCCGGCGGCCGCCCCAGGACAGAAAAGCCTGCCGCTCCCACCCTCCTTTATCGCGCCCACAAACAAACAGTGCTGTCGGGAAGGAGGGGGGCCGCTGGGGGGGCGGTGCTCACACCCCCCCCACCCCCACGTCGGATGGACTTCCTTCCCCTGCTTAGCAGTTCACAATTCGACACCCACGGCCTGCTCCGCCGGATTAGAGGCATTCACGGCTTGCAGAAAAAGGAGGCCCAAACGCAGACGTGGTGATAGATTGCGATCAGCAGGCCCCTAGGAGAGCCTGTCACTTTATTCTTTTGGACGCCTTTCATGGAGGCGCGGTGACTCAGATGCTCCAGAATCCGGAGCAGCCGGGGCCGTGGGTCCGGGTGGTGATGTGCGCCTGTGTGTCAGGCCCGGCCCCTGGCGCCCAGCCAGCTGGGAGGCTGGGAGCCTGGAGGTTTGCAGGCTCATAAAAAGAAAGTGCTTGCTCCTCGGCCAGACCAGAATGTGCCAGGTTCGGTGGGGAGGACAAGGGCGCTGCCGGGGCTGGCCCACTCACCTGCAAGACCATGTCACCCTACAGATCGGGAGGCCGGGCGAAGATCTGCGGCTTCTTCAGGGCAGGCGGCAGGCATGTCGGGGAGGGGACCGCGTCGCTGACCCACTTGCGGGTGACCCAGTTCCAGGTGAGGACATGGAATTGACTTAGCCCGAGGCCCCCCTCAAATACTTACCCAGCGCTTCCCTGTGGTAGCCAGGCCTCTGGGAAACGCGGAAACAGAAAGCAATGACGACCCACTCCTTCCAGGTTATAGCCTGGCCCCCTCAGGCTTGAGTGTGCCTGCGTTTTGCCCAGGCCGGAGCGAGCCTCTGATGTTGCCCCGATTTTTCCGAATCTCCCCTCTCGACTTGAGATGGCATGGCATCACGCACGGACTCTCAAACTAACTGCAGATGTAGGACCGGGGGTGTTTGTGTTGGTTTGTTTGTTAATTAATTTCAATCTGTCATGGATGGATACTTTTGTCCAGTATAATAAAGATGACTAGCTGGAAAAATGAAATAAAAAAGAAATACAAGGGATGCCTGGGTGGCTCAGTTGGTTAAGTGTCTGCCTTCGGCTCGGGTCATGATCCCAGGATCCTGGGATCGAGTCCCACGTTGGGCTCCTTGCCCGGCGGGGGGCCTTCTTCTCCCTCTGCCTGCCACCCCCCAACCCCGCTTGTGCGCGCTCTCGCTCTCTCTCTCTCACTCGGACAAATAAATAAAACCTTACGAAAAGAAAAGAAAAAGAAATACAAGCTACAAAACACAAGCCCAAACTTTTATTATTGGATTTTCTAGCAGACACAAACATACTCTGTTGAGTTTCTAAAGGCTCGCTCCCAATTTCTGTGCTTAGCTCACCGTGGACAAGTGTCAATGCGTGGACTGGCACTGGCCTGGGGAGCACACTTGGAGTAACGGCAGGGAACAATCAAGGTCAAAGCCTGTGGGTTCTAATATCACCTCTGTCACCAAATGGCCACGCACTGCCCCTCCAAGCCACCACCTTCATGTGCACATAGTAGACTCACAAAAGCAACTCGCACTATGGTCTGCTGAGCAAAGGAAGGTGCCAGGTCTTTTCTTTGTCTCCTGCGGACTCCTTCTTTCTCAGCCTAGCAAGATGGGGTGGGGCGGTGAGATTTCCGTCCTGTGGAGTGGATCGCGTGCAAATTGTGTAAGTGGTCCCTTTAGGCAAATGCCCGGGTGCTCTCAGATTTCCACCCCACCACCCCCGCTCTCCCACACAATGGTGTCAGGGGAATGTGGGAGGAGAACCGAACTGACGCCACCACCTCCCACACTTTATCGTGCGCACAGATCCCCTGGGGAAGTTGTTCACACACAGATGCCGACTCGGCACGGCTGGGGTGGGGCCCAAGACTCTGCATTCCCACCAAGCTTCCAGGTAATGCAGGGGCTGCTGGTCCTGAGACCATACTCCTGAATAGCTTCTGAAGGATGAAGGGCTTCTGGGGTCTCGTGAAGAGAGAGGAGTCGGGTCCTAAGGTACCCCTGCACAGGATCTCCTTGCCCAGAAGCTTCCACGTCTCTGCCGTGGAGTGTCTGGTCTTGGCTGCCCCTGGAACGGTGGTTGCTGAGGTCCAGACGGGCCCCCTCCCTGACTTCCGTGTGAGCCCAGGGAACTCCTGGTCTGACCATCTGGGTGCAGTCGGAGACCCGTCACCCCAGCAGCCCTGCCTCCCCTCAGCAATCACTGGGGCTGTCGAACCCTTGAAGACTCTGTGACATCCCCCGTCTGGACCTTGGGCTAGGTCCCCCGGCCCTCAACACGACTGCCTTTCACTGACGGAACCTCCAGGGCCTTCGCCAGCCCCCAAGTGACGAGGGCAACTCTGCTCAATACACAGGGCCACCTCTCTGAGTTCTCTTTAATATGGAGTCCGCCAGATGAGTATGGGGTGCAGCCTCCCAACTATCCTCCCAGAGCCCCCAACACAACCAGAGGCTAACACGCCGCTGCCGGAGACGTGCCCTTCACTTCTCAAATATCCCTCCCTCTGGCCAGATCCCCCAGGGGTGACCAGAACCCCTTCAGCAGGCTTCCCCTGCTCCAGCCCCATCTTCCCACCGTCCTGCCACCGTCCTCCCAAAGCAGAAGGAACAGCCTCTCCCTCTTCCTCTTCCTGTCTAGTTGGGACTTCCCTCTCAACATAAAGGAGAACCTGAAGGGATAGAGGAAATCCTTTTCTCTCCGGACAATGCCTGACTTCCTCCCTGATTTCCTCCCTGTGGGTTGAATCACGGTCTAATGTGACCAGAGCTGAGCAGCCGCTTCCATGGTGAGCAGTACCCGCTGTTCTCGGGTGCTCTGGGAACCCTGAGACCCACTGGAAACCCACCGGAACATACTGCCTCAAGCGTTTCCTGCTCCGTGGGAAACGAAGGCATCTCCCTTGTTGGCCCCAAGAATCTACAAAAGGGCCATTCTCTTGGCAACTTGGAAACGGAGCACACTCCTTCAGGAGGTCTGTGCGTGGGGCCCCAAATGTGCCACCACCCCACAGGTAATTAGTGAGCACCTACTGGGTGCCAGGCACCTGTGGGCGACTGGGGAGATGGCTGGTCAAGAGTCAGTTTTCAGGGGCGCCTGCGTGGCTCGGGTGGTTAAGCATCTGACTCTTGATTTCAGCTCAAGTCATGATCTCAAGGTCGTGAGATGGAGCCCCGCGTCGGGCTCCTCGATCAGCACAGAGGTGGCTTGGATTCTCTCTCTGCCCCTCCCCCCATTTGGGTGGGAGCACGTGCGCACACGTGCGCTCTTTCTCTCAAATAAAGAAATCTTAAACAAAAAAACAGATTGTCCCCAAACAACTGCTTTAGAAAAAAATTAAAATAAAATAAAACAAATAAATAAATCTTTAAGAAAAAGAGAGAGAGAGTCTGCTTTCAAAGCACTTATAAGTGACATCACCGTCCCCCCATGGTGGCCACTGTGCACACCATCCAGGTCCCTTGTTGGGGCCTGACTCAGCTACCGAGAGCCCCCTGGCCAAGGCCACACCCTCCCGGGGCAGCCCACACCCAGTTACTGTTGGCAGCAGGGTATTACCTGGCGACCACTCGGACGGGCCATCGAGCTACAGAACTCACCGTGGGCTGAGCTGAGGCTGTTGGTCTGGACGCCGCTCGGCTCCTCCCTCGGCCTGCCCCTAATTCTAGCCTCACCTTCCTCAGGTGTGGCTCCCAAGGGCCCTCCTTGGTAAACATCCTGCTGCTAAACTCCATCTCAGAGTCTGTTTCTCAGAGAACCCAACCCTCATCACCCCCAGTGCCTGGGAGACCGGCAGATGGGTGTGGGTGGCAGGGGGGCCAGGAAGCAACCAGGAGATTTCCCCAGGCCCGTTCTGAGAAAGAGCGTGGCCGGACCTGGGGCAGACTGCCTCTTCCACCACAGTTGCCAACAAAAGTGGAGGCTGGCCCCCTAGTAAGGCAGGAACAGAGTCCCCTTCTGGGAGGAAAGCTGTGGGAGCAGCATCTGCTAGGCCACAACCTGGGGGAGCCAGACTGGAGAAACTGCAGGAGAGGTTGGGATCGGGGCAGGAGACAGACCTGCAGGCAGGAGTGGGACGAGACTCAGCAGGGAGAGATGACGAGGTGCAGGGAAGGGACACTGGTCCGGCCATTGGGAAACGCAAGTTTCCTCCCATCCAAGCTGGGCTGGGGGACACGGACCAGATCCCTCCCCTCTCTAGGCCTGACCCCTCACCCATCAGGTGAGGGGTGTGCATCTGGGGATCAGCTGGCCTGTGAGGCCCTCTGCCTCTGACATTCTGGCCTCGTGCTAGGCTGTGTCCGTGGCCCTGGGCCTCACGATGTAGCCCGGGTTGCTGAGAAAGCGGGTCAGAATTCAGCAGGAGGACATTGCCCCTCTCCTTTTCAGATGGGTCAGGGGGAGTCTGGTTGTTATGGGCTGCACTGTGTCCCCCTAAAAATCATCCACTGAAGCCCTACCCCCCAGGACTTCAGAATGTGACTGTATTTGAGATAGGGCCTTTCCAGCGGTGAGGTAGATAAAATGAGGTCATTGGGGTAGAGCCCAATCCGATCTGACTGGTGTCCTCATAAAAGAGGAGATTAGGACACCGATAGGTACAGAGGGCAAAGGATGTGAGGGCATAGGGAAGAGACGGCCATCTACAAGCCAAGGAGAGAGGCCTCAGGAGGAATGGACGCTGCCGACACCTTGATCCCGACCTCCAGCCTCCAGAAGTGTGGGACAGGACATTTGTGTGGTTAACCACCACCACCCGCCCCCCAACAGGCTGTGGTCTCACTAGGACAGCCCAAGCAGAAGAGCGTGCTGGTCAATTAAATGTATAGACAACCCCCCAGACCTAGCCCTGGAAGGTTCTGCTCCATATCGGGAAGCCCGGACGCTTCTGAGGGATTCCCAGCTGAGCAAGCATGGCTGGCATGCTTGGGCTTCGGGCCGGGCATGGCTCCCGCTTGCCACACGCCGGGCCCTGGGAGGGCTGCCTGGGGCAGGAAGCTGCGTGCTGATTGCAGAGCCGAGAGCTATCAGGTGGGGCCTTGACCTTGTGGCTGACAACCCCACACCGAGTACACCCAGGCCTGGGTGTTCCACACCAGGAAGGGAAAGGAGAGAATGTTCTGACTGCAGTCAGAGATGGAATGAGCTGTCTTCACGGCCCACAGCCTCAGGGAGGGTCCACGACCCCCCACCCCCGCAACGGCCTGCTTCACCGACTCAGGGCACCCCAGGGTGTCTCAGAAGGGAGGCCCAGGACCACTCCCAAGGCTCCAAGAGCCGATTCTGCTGAGGAAGGGCCTTTCTCTAAATATTTTCTCTCCAGGTTTGGCTGGAGACAGTCACAGCCCGTCAGGGGGCTCGGAGAACAGAGCAAGCCTGCCAAGAGCCGTCTGAGGACCGCTTTTGTAAAGAAAACCCAGGGAGTGGGGCTGGCCCACACCCAGGCAGCAAAGGGACAGGCCCACCCTCCCCTCCCTGGGCTCAAGCCAGGGCACCCACTGAGGCCGGGAGTTCTAGGCCCAGGCAGACCCCAGAAAACAGCCCACAGCCCTCCAGTCAGCTGCCGTGTGTTTGTGTTTACAGCTGCTCCTCCCGCCCGGCTGTTGCAGTGAGCAAAGGAATCTGTTTGTCTGAGAGACAGAATGTGGCAGAGAGGCGGAAGGCAGCCCCGGGCAGCCCGGGCAGCCTCAGCAGCTACAGAGTTCGCCAAATCCAGCCAGACACCCAGGAGAGTCACCCAAAGGCCTAGAGGTCAAGGTCACGGGCTCAGAGACAGCCTCCACCCTCACCCTGCCGACAGCCGTGCTCCGCGAGGGGCTAGGGCTTTGCCCAGAGTCCTCAGGGCAGGTGCCAGGCCGGCAGCCTGAGCGCACAGAACAGGGACCCACCCTCGCGAGCTATTTGCTTTGCCTCTCTCTCATTCACACACAAACCCCACCACCACCACACACACACACACACACACACACACACACACACACACACACACTGAGAAGGAGGTCCGTCAGCTGCGTGTATGAAG